TGAACCATTGAGATATTTTTCTCATATAATTTATTTATTCAAATACAGATTTATACAATAAACATTTTGTATTGTGACCGAATATATTCTTGAATAGTTCGATGTTTATGATCATAAATGATTATTTATTGTGCATATTAGTATAACAACATTCTGTGAAGATTGTCGAACACTTAACAATTTTTAATCAACAAAAACTATTATTTTATCACGTATATGTATACACGACATTATTTTTTTCAAACAATGAGTATAAATATATATATATGTATGTATGTTAACGTGCAAACTGAGATTCCATTCAGTCTCAGGATTGATGTAAGTGAATCTCGGAATGAGAGAAAAATTTATGTGTTAAGATCTAAATTAGTCTATAGATTGATATAGTATTCAGATTCTTTTTGATGAATTGAAAGAGAGAGAGAGAGAGAACAATGGCATGTCAATTAATAGAATCATTAATCAATGAATTAAGATTCAAGTGGTTATGAATTGTTTTTCATTGAAGTAGTTCTTATGTGTAAAAACATCCGTAACTTCACATATTCAAACTAAATTGATCAATTAATAATGATATTTATTGAAATACTATTAATTCGTTTCAAATTATCATCAACAATAGCCTGAATATGATATCGATCTAAAGACTTACTCGAGTTTTCATATAAATTTTCCTTTCAATCTAATATTGAACGTCGCGGTTCAGTTTGAATGCTAATATCTATATGAATAACAAGGGCACAGAAATGAAAGTAACTCACTAAATAGATAATGGAAAAAAAATCTTTCTAGAGAATTTAAGAGAGAAAAGAAGAGAAGAACAAATTCATCTGAACATATTAGAAAACAGAACACATGCGTATCCACATCAGACAGCAGAACAAATGACTATATAAATAGAACACACATACATGATGGTATGGCAACACTTAGAAAAAGAAATAGACGATGATGACATCATCTAACAATTCTTTCATTAATAAATTAATTAAATCATTTTTAATATCTATTAAGAAAAATAAACATTTCATAATTTGATCTTATCAATGTTTGATAACATTCCGTAACGTTCTAATATGATACAAAATATATGTAAACAGTGTATGCATGTCTGTTATTATATATGAATATTAATGTATAGAAATTTATTTTGATAAAAGATAAGAGAATATTTTGATTGTTATCAAATTAATTGATATTATGATAAATCGATTTATGAAATAGTATGAAAATGTATCTAATTTAATATTGTGATAAACTTTAAAAAATCGAATGTAGTTATTTGTTGTGGATGACTTTGAAACTAATTAAATATTATATACACTGTCTATCAACTGTTATCTATCGATCTACATCAGATTAATCAATAGACTATGTGTGTGTGTGACACGTTAAGTTCAAATCACATATTCGCTTTAAATCTTTTATTTATTCAAATTCAATAAAATCCACATCGGAAAAAATGCGTTTATTGGTTTATAAATGATGTGTATCTTCAATATTGATTTTTAACGATGCAAATAACGATAAAAGCAGATCAATTTACAAATATTCTATCCAATGCTATGAAACATCATGAAGATTGTAAAAAGTGATATGAATTGCTAAAGAAAAGAATCATCAGTAGATTATTAAACAAAATCAATATCATTTCAATGACTTTCGCAATTGTTCATAACCTTTAATATTGCTTTCAACATCATCAAGTAAATGAAATTTAAATTGATCATATCTATAAAGAAAGAACGAATAGATGAACATGAAAGCAATATTGTTATAACCTGAAGGTATCTCTATACTAGTCTTTGTACAATTTACTATAGTGCCGCCAATAATAATAATAATAATAATAATACTTGAAAGTAATTTAAAAAATGCTATGTACTTTGATTGCTTGTTTTTTGAACACAATAATCGGATGAAACCATGAAACACAAGCAAAAAAACGGAAGAAGTTTGTACAATTTTCACACAAATATCTTTAGACAAATATGAGCTATACAATAAAGATTATATTTATAGAAAGCGATGAGAAACACTTCGAACCCTAAGGCTATGAAAAGAATGCTCATAAATCATCGTATATAAATGTCTTGCACATTTTCTAAGTATAATAACTATAATGACGATCACCTTGATTATAGCTTGAGTAATATCCACATCAACCATGAATATATGGGACTGATTGCACTAGGTAATGTATGCATATATGAAATCAGAGTAAAAGAGGCTTAAGATAGAACATCTCTTTTGAATATACAATTGAACTTTGTAAGCATAAAAGTAAATTGTCTACAGCGCTAATTATCGTTCTTTTGAAACTCACTAGCAATGATTATCAGTTAAATATGGATGTTCGTCATAAGCTAATCACTCATGTATCATATACAGCGTTAATCGTTCTTTATAATGCATTTACCTCCTTTTTTTTGCCAGAAAATTCAAACCAAATTCTTCTATATGCTTTCTTATCGGAAAAGATTAGAAGACAATATCCTTTCGAAGTATTATTTGATTAATTGTATAATGTGGATATAAGTTCTTGTTTTTTGCTCTCATAGGATGCAAAGTCTGTGCCAAAATCTAAGATTTGTTACATCATTATGATGTTCCATAAATTTTCGAAAAGTGTAATGATATTTTGATATCGACAATAATTTAGAAATATTGGAGAATCATTAATAGAATTCTAAATTCTATTACTATATAAGCAATACCTTAGCTACTCGGTACATTTGAGTATCCGTGATTTTGCTTTATAAAAAATGAATAACACTGATTTATTGCTTATAAATGATTGCTCTTGTCAAAGTCATTCTATTTATATAACTCAAATTCCCATGAAAAAATAACAGATGTTGTCATGTGATACTCAACTGTTCAGATTTGTTAAATATTGAATGATTTACTTTGAAAAGGTGCTATCTAGGTGACAGAAACAGTGCATTAAAATAGTTCATGCATTCATTATACATAGTATCGTGAAGACTTTTTTTGTATTAGTGTATGATTGAATTCATAACTGATTAACATTTCTCAGTTGAACGATCATTTTTCAAATTTTGTTCATTGAACGTGATAAACTCAGCTATAACTGATTAAGCGTTCGACATTCGTTTTGTTAAGATGAACTATCTCATCAAGTAAATTGCACAATGAAACAATAACATTTTCTCCACTATGATTATATCATTGAATAGAATGAAGTATCTAGTCTATTCTACGAAAAAAATTTTCTTTTGAAAAATTTTTATAATTTTTGGAAGGTCTGCTATAAATTATTCTGCTTTCTATTCGAAAGAAAATTTTAAAAAAAGTTTTTTATGCATTAACATGTACCAGGATCAAAAACGTATTAATAAAGTCATGACAACTTCGAAATACTTCAAGCTCTGTCAGTTTTAGAGAGAACTGAAACATTCAGGTTTGATAACATGAAAACTCAACTCAGTATGGATTGTTCAATAAAAGAGAACAGACTGAATCGATTTATATTCTTCATCTTCAAAATTAATTACAGGCAGGAACCATTAGTTGTTAATTACAATTAGTCTATTGTCCATATTTTTTGAATAATCTTAGTTTTTCAAAGGAAAGACTAGGTCGAAGCTTTTTGGGAAGATACAAACGTGTAGAGGATTGAATTCTCTACGAAAGAAAGTATTTCACTACAAGATAATAACTAGCACTGAAGATGACAAGACCTGATCTGTTAATGTGTAATTTTCAACGTAGGAGCAAAAATGTTTTGTTGTGTAAGTTATTAGAAAAGGTTCATCATTTCTTTCTCCCATCTCATATGCAAAAATGCATTTGAAAAGATAGGGCATTATCATATTCAGCAAAGCTAGTTATCGTGAGAGATCCTTCATTTCATAGCTTAGTGCTGCTTCAATAAGTGTCCTGCTCTGACTAACTTTTCTGTCGAAATTTCACGATGGCAGTCGTCAACCGAGAAGAAATCTATGCTAAAATTGTTCCAGACCATGAAGATTTTACCGCGCCCCAAGATTACAGCGGATTTCATTACACTGTCTGTAGTACAATATAGACATACGAATCTTTACTTGTTAAGAAGAAAATCGAGATTAAGGTATTTGAATAGTGATTAATCAGAAAAGTAATTTTTGAGCTCGAAGAAAAAAAAGCGGTGTTTTCATCGTAAATCCATTTTATTAAGATTAACCAATTTTTGGGTTGCTGCTTGCGATCAGATTATATTGAACTCTATTTGTAATCAAAATATCAAGCAAAACAATTAAAGTTGATGTGCTTTTTGTTTGATAGCGAAACTTCTTACAACTACTGTATCTATAAAAAATCATATAGAAATCCATTTAAAAAGGATTTATTAAGAGTAAAAACAGATGTAGAGTTTATTTACGCACTCTATTATATTCAATCAAACAGATCAATTTCGTGAAAAACTTGAAATTTTATCAGACTACGCAGTAGAACCTTTAAGATGACCTAAAATATAATGGTATGCATGCCCTATACTCAAAATAATTAAATGTGATTACATAAAGCAAGAAACTGCAGTGTCATTATAAGAATTAAGTTGATGCAAGACAAATTAGACAACGATGAGGCGAATAATGTTGCATGATGAGAAATAAAATACAGCATCTACCTATCTTTACTTATTCTAAATTTTTTTCCCTTTATTCCACGGTAACTCATTTTTATGCTGTCAACGTCAAGAAATAACGAATTATTTTGAACCTTATTATTTATAACATCAATATCAGATGACTTCAGTAGTCAATGTCGGTTCGGAAATAAACAACTTTCATAACCATCAACATATAAAATTAATAATCAATATTTGTACTCTATTATGTACAATATTCGCAAGCATTGTTTCAATACTCGTCATCGTTTATATTTGTATATATATTTTACGACAAAAGAATTTTAAAAAGTCAACAAATGTACCTCTACTTCTTACATGTAATACATGCTTAGCGATTATTTGTTCGAGTACTACACTTACGCTAATGATATTATCAAATATTGGTGGTGATATCAATATTTACATTCTTAAACGAATAAATTGTTGGGCTTGTCATATACGTGGTTATCTACATTTTGTTTTTCTCAATTCAATTTATCTATCTTATGTACTTCAGAGTGGTTTTCGTCTTTTACGTATTGTATTTCATAAATATAAATATTTACGAACAATTTATTCGTTTTCATTTTTTATTCTCGTTCAATGGATTGCATCATTTCTATTTATTTTACCTATTTTGATTGGAGATCATAACTATACATCTGTTGTTGTCTATTTACCTCAAGAATTTTATTGTAGTATTCCTATTACTAGTATTCGAGGTACTATATTTATAATACTTAGTGTATATTTCATACCATTATGTTGTATTGGTGTAACTTATTTGTGGATTATAATTCATGTCCAATATAGAAACAGACAAATTATGTTGATACCTATTTCAGTTCAACGTAAAACCAAACGTGATAATATTATCATAAAACGAATTTGCATGGTTATGATTGTTCTTTCATCATTAGGAATAATACCATGTTCGTTTGTTATTGTATATATTATGACTAATTACTTGCATTGGGCATCCTATCGCATAAGTTGGATGACAGTTTCCATATCATTTGCATTAATTACTCTATCATCACTTTATGTAACACCTCAAATATATAAATCAATATGTATTATGTTCAATCGTTCTCAAAAAAACCAAAAATATCATCGTGTCTTTTCTTCGATCAGTCACAAACATAAAATACAAAAAAAAAACTGAGAATCCTGTTTTTCAACAGAATATGACAATTAGTACGGCCTAACATATTTCACTGCAACAAAAAAAATTAGATCCACCATACTTTATCACTGAACATGCATAACATTGGACAAATTTTGGAAATACTATAAATCATACTTACTGCAAGTACATGGCTTAGATTTTGAATCTGCTTCTTTTATTTTCAATTATATCTCATTGAACTTTTTTGTTTCTATCAAAAATACAATCACTTAAAATAACTATATATTTGATAGGTTTTGATCTACCTAGTTAAATTGTTAAAATCTTTCGAGTGCATACAATAGCATGATCTTACAACTTTTCGTTTATTAATGAAATTTTTAGTTTAAAATGAGAAAATGTATCTATGAGGGACAAAAAAAGTAGAGCAAAATGGAAATGTCGACTATTTTTTGTCGGATATTTCCCATAGCACGATAAAATATCTTTAACACAATACTAAAAGAACTTTTGAAAAATACATTCATTATCTCCTCGCAGCTGCTCTATATCAAAAAATTTAAATTAATAGTGACAAATAACTGACAAAATTAATTAATGAAAGAATTGGTGAAAGAAAACAATATGTATATCAGTACATATATTTTCTACAATAGAGCATTGGTAACAAATTCTAAGTGTGATAAAGTTTTTCGATTTCATACAACTATATCCGAAATTCTCGATTTCATTAGTTGAGAGAATATTGTATAGTAACGAACAAGCTTAAGAGATATTATTATTTGACCAATCATAATTTTTTATACTAAATCCTGTTCTGTATTCATAGATAACCGTTAAAACTATTTTATTGAATAGCATAACTGCAAAAACAAAAAATAACTCTTCTTGTTTAATCCAAATTGTTTTCTACAATCAAAAACACCTATACTATTAAAAGTCTTTTAATTCGATTATGAATAAGTCTAATATTGCTATAACAAGTATCCATTGAATTTGATAACTTTGATATGACATCTACATACGAGAAATTGATGTTGGTCTTATTCCTTACTACTCTAGTGTAAAACTTCTTAAGATCTAAAGTTTTACTAAGCTCGACGGCATAAGACTATTTATATAACGAACAATTAACGAGGAACACTGCTAAGTGTGAAATGACTTCTAAGTTAGGACTATATGCACTCTATAGGTTCTAATGATCTATGAATACCCTGAAAAGAGTTCGGTCTAATAGCTGATCACTACTGAAATATTGTATTTTTTATCAAAATACCATCGTTTCCCTCAGAAACACCAAGAAAATAAAGTTTCGAATGTCGACTTAAAACTTTACACAGAGACAGGCCTTAACGAGAATAACTTAATGTGAAAGTTTCAGAGTTTTCGATTACATCAATTCTTAAATAATAACATCGGAATTTGCCGTTGTATACGAGCGGCAGTAAAATCATACGTTTAGCATAGCCGTATCTTAGAGTGGAAGCAATCAAAAGATTTGAAACTTTTATAATAAACTATTCTCAGTAAGATCAGTCTCTTTAAAAAGTTTCACATGGAAATTTGAAACTCAGCGTTCCGGCTGTACCTGAGATGAATCACAGTATTCTGCTAAAAATAAAGCATCACAGTAGCTATAAGTTATTAGACCGAACTTTTTTCAGAATATGCATAGATCATTAGAATCTACACGACGCACATAGGTTCGACTCAGAAGCGACTTGACACTTAGTAACATTCTTTCGTGAGTGATGTGATGAAATTTTTTGTGTTTTATTTTAAATCGAAACAAGTAGACAAGCATAAAGTAAATTAACTTACAGCTTGTTCTTTATTCTTCTCTTTTTTTTTACAATCATTGATTTAAAAGAATCCACATAGCATCTTCAATAGGCAAACCAATTTATATAAAATGTAATAAAAAAAAAAGCTTTTTTCACATGTTCTGAATGTCGAAAAGATTTTTGTGAAGATCATATAAATCACCACCATCAATCATCTCCAGTTAATGAAATAAATGATTTTTTTGAATGATCATCATCAATTACAAGAAATAGTTTTTTGAATATATGACGGGAACCTCGACAACATCCACTTATTCAACAAATTGATAAATGAGAACGACAATCAATAAGTAAAATTCAACAAGTAGCTAATGATGATGCTCGAACACAAATTTTAAATGTTATTAGTGATAATATCATAAGTATTAAAAATTCTCTAGAAAAACTCACACAAAGATTAGAACAAGCTCGAATTGATGAAAATTTTCTAAAACAAAGGAGAAGTAAACTTGATAAATTAAAATTTGCAAGCATGATGATGTTGATGATGATGATATTAGATTTATTTCTAATATTATTGTTAATATTGTTGAATCAAATGATATATTTGAACGATCAGCTGAAAATATTCGAATTGAAGATAATGGTCAAGTAATAATTTATGATCAATAAAGTGATCATTCAGCTGTACGTGAAAAAGATGAATATTCATATGGTTAACATTGATTTCCTTTTAAATTTGAAGAACTTGATTCAGATAAATGGAATTTTTTTGGTTTTGTCTCAAAAAATGTGTCTATGAAACCTGTTTCAATTAGTACATCAACAACGTATGGATTTTGCTGGACAAGATGGTATTTGTCTTAATGACTTTTATTAAAATACAAATAATAATGGATATAAGAGTGATATGAAAATGAATGATGTATTAGACTTATTTATTGATTGTGATCATCAAATAATTTGTTTAACAAATGATCGAACACATAGTTCACATGAACTCAATATTGATATTAATAAATGTCCATTGCCATGACAACTTATACTTGGTCTTTGTTGTTCAGCTGGTGATCATATTCGAAGTTTACTTTGTACATTTAAAGAATAAAATTTAAATATTGCTTATTTGATTAATCATATATTTATATTTAAAAATCAAACAAATGTTTGAGTATAACTTTGACCAAATCCATATTAGTAAAAGATACTGTATTTTGAAATAACGGATAGTTCAAAAGTTCTAGATTAATTTTGTTTTTGCCATAGTGTGACAATAACTGGTTGTATAGACTTGATAGTTTTATTGTTAGAAAGCGCAAAGTTTCCTTCTTCAAAGCTATATAAAATTATATGGATCAAAGTATTTACCAAGGGCTGAAAAGTGCCCTTTGACTTCACGCAAAATCAGTAATGAGAAGTGCATTTGATCGATTTGTCTTGCGTTCGATTTCGAAATTTTAAGGACATGTTATATCTGAGTTTATCCAATGTCATGCAATCTTTCTAGTGGTATTGAAATATTTTCAGTTACACAAACTACAGTTTCTATAGAAAACGGTTTTATAAAAAAAAAATTGATTTTTTCTCTGCAACGCCTAATAAAGTTATTCTCATGTCTAAACGAAAAAGTGTACCCTGTTTTATATGATGTCATGTTCTAGAGGATTCACTAAACTTTAATTAAACATGAGATATGGAGTTTCACAAACTTCGATTGCTGGAAAAACTCTTATTTATTTTTTAAATCGCTTTTAAATCGTGAACACGTTTCACTGCCCAGGTCGTTACAAAAATATCGGTTTCGAAATCAATCTATAAGTTAACCCAGGTCGATCGTTCCGGTCACCGGATACTGCAGGAACCGGCAGGAAAGACGCGGAAAGATCGCCGTTTCCTGCAGGAAAACACCGGAAATCAACGGAACATGGAAGCAGTATTCCGGCCGGAAGTTTTTCGGACTTTTTCCGGCGGGTTCCTGCCGGAAAGAACAGGAATTGGCTGGAATCCACCGGAAAAAAATCCGAAAAATTTCCGACCGGAATACTGCTTCCATGTTCCCTTGCTTTCTGGTGTTTTCCTGCCGGAACCGGCCGGTACTTTTCGACCTGGGAAAGATTCTATTTTTACGTGTTTACAATGTCTTATCATGTTGTTACTAAAACCCCGACAAAAGACGGAAAAAAGACATCAATTTTCTTAGTGGATAGAGGTTTTCTTCTAAATTTCGGAAGATGCAGAGAAATTTTCCAGCCAAACATATTCTTCATAGTTTTCGACCTTTAGTAAATATTTTAAATCAAATACATTTGCATAGGTATGTAATAGAAACTTCGTTCTTTCTAATAATAAAGGTATCAAGCCTCTGCGACGCGTTGTTCTCATGCTATACTGGAAAAAAATTGATACAGAAATTTGACATCATCTATTATATGAATTTAATGTCGAACAATATAATCTGTTAAGTTCCTAGTCTTTAGTACATCTTTTTAAATTGATTCATCAATTTCATTAATATTTTGTTAGATTCTTGCTTAGATGTGTCTTAGTTAAATTCGATTTTTTATGTTTGCAAAATGTTATGATTACATGATGTGACATGTAGCTTATGCACCTATTCTATTAATTAATCGGTATGTATTTCTATCAATTTGGTTCATGACCACATTGATCAATTTTCTTTACATGTTGATCAACGCAGTGATAAGTGTTGAATTTCTCTACAACAGAATAATATCCCCCAAGTTCAAAATGGTCAACTCAACATAATTGGACTGATAAGATATTTCTTCAGATCTATGAATTGAATGAAATTAAATCGAAGAATTTTTTGCAGATTTTTATTGGTTGAATTGAATTGAGTTGGGTAGAAGTTCTGTTTTTTTTTTAGTTGAATAGAATTGACTGCTTTGTTTGGGTTGATTTATTCAGTTCTGTTTTTTTATATGACTGAATAAATAATTTGAGTTTTTTTTTTTAAATTTTATATTGAAAGAGAGAAAAGTAATTTTCTTTTCATGACTTTTTATTTACATTGGTTCGTTACTATGCAACAAAAATTTCAGCATCATGTTGATTAAACAAGCAAAAAGAAGTAAGAATCAAAAAAGGAACACAGTTTCGATAATGTACATAGAAGTAAAAAAAGCATGTCGGTTAATACATCAAAATTATCGTAGATTTTTTTTTCATTGTACTATTGAGTCATTTGAAACGCATGACCAAAATTATTTTGCAAGTATTATTATATTTTTGTTTTATAGTTCTAGATCTAACATTCAAAAGATGTATCGAGAGATTGAACAAAATTATCAACTATTGAAGAGACGATTATCTACGAGACATTTAAAAATGATTCTCACAGTTGTTGTTGCTTTTTTTCTATTTAATGGAACTTTTTATCTATTGACTCAATTTATGTTTTATCCGTTAACCACAACAACTACTGAACCCACGACAATTTCAACAACAATAGAAGAAACAACAACCATCGAATCAACTACAGAAAAATCTTATGGTAAGTTGAAATTTTAAAAGATGATTTAATAAAATTCTCTTGAAGAGCTTGGCTGCTTTTTCGATAAAACAAATATTACACTTGCTGATGGTTCTATGCGACCATTAAATTTATTAACTGTCGGTGAAGAAGTTCTTGTTTATTTATCATCTGGAAAAACTCAAAAAAGTCGAGTATTAACAATATTTCATCATCAACGTTCATCGGTTCGTTTCTTGGAAATATATACAGTAAACAAACAAGAACCACTTCGTCTTACACCGTCACATTCAATTCTTATCAAGAAAAATACTAAGAAACAATCTTCTTTTCATTATAGCTTCGCACATAAGGTTGCTATTGGTGATTTTGTTTTTTCATCGGAACTAAAATCTTTACGAGTAATTAATATCAAAGAAATTATACTTTATAATCAAACAATTTCTACTCCATTGACATTTGAAGGAAATATTATAGTAAATAATTTAATAGCATCATGCTATGCTACTTATCGTCATAAATTTATGCATATGCTAACATTACCTCTTCGATATTGGTATCAAATAGAAATGTTTTCTCATTTTAATTATTTTATTGTTCATTTAATTGATTTTTATTCAAAGATAAATTTTTAATAAAATCATCAATTCATATTGAATATTTTTTGTTGCTTGGTAGATAGTTTTGTTTTTTTTGTCAAATTCTAAAGAAATATTGTTTGTGTTTTGCATTGAATCTCACCTATATTAGTCAATTAAAAAAACAACATTTGAATCATTTTATTAAGAAATATAATAAAAGATAATTTTTCATGTGAGAAAAACGTATATATTTGAGTTTGATGTTCTATTATTTGTTATATCGATACTAATATCAATTGATTTTTTTTTGAATAATAAATATAATTCAAGATTTCACAGGAAAATATATTTATATCAACTCGAATCGCATGAAAGTTTTAAAAAAGTATTTTATATGTAAAGCTAAAATCCGATATGAAGCTTTTACATTGACGCGCAAATATAAAAAAATGTGATATACTTTTGTATAATAGTCGCATCCAATTAGGATTTGAGTGTAAAATTGCACGTACTAGATTCACAAAGAGAATCGTGCTACTCACTATTACATCAATGACAATTAAGTTAAAATATGCGTGATTTATTTCTATGAATAAATGAAAAGTCATTATTAAATAATTTACAATAGGTTTTTTTTCTAATTGAACTTTTATTGATTATCAGCTATATTGGAGAAGAATATCATTGCTTTTATGAATGAAAGTTCTTGAACTCAATATAAACTTTTGATAAAGCTTAACATTAAATAGTAAAACGTGAATCTGCATTGATCTTCATCCCAACCGCGGTTTTTTCAATTAATTAGTAACTCATACACCAATGATGAATCTGGAATTTTGGATGAGGTAAAGGCATTTAGTCGACGATAAGGATTATAGTAAGCAAAAATTACTTTTTGATGTCATTCGAGATAGTGTAAACTTATTTTTTGTTCGTGTTTGCTGGAGAAAAAATTCTTGAAGAGTAAGCAACTATCCTTTCATCTCTGTTCCCTCGACTGAAGTCTTTCATTATTACATAACTGATTAATACGATTTGATGAAATATACATGCCAACTGATAAATATTTTCGTTCTCAAATGAAATAATTCCATTAGATCATTCAATTTCTACAATAGAAAAGGTCGGTTTAGACAAGCTATTTTATTTTAAATCAATTGAGATTAGTGTTCATCAAAATCAGTGTTTTCTCATAAAATTTAGAATAAATTTGTATTCGATCGATAGAATTCGAAGAATTTATTTTATTAGATACATTAATTATTATTGAGAGAAGATTCATAAGACTGAGTCTCCATTTTCCATTGGCTTTATATCAGTTCTTAGAACTCGATAAAATGATTATCATAACATGAAGCGCTCTTCACCATAGACTTTCTTTCAGGAGTTACGTCGGTCTTAACTTCAAAAAAATGATGAATAATTTCATTCTCAGCATTGAAAACTATAACATTAGATCTGCTTTGATTAACTATAGAACATTCATATATTCAATATAAATAGAATTGTAAATCACGCCTATATTTTTGAATATATTCATACCATTCATTCTGTGGATGTCGGAACTCGAACAATTTTATCAAAACTGATTAAAATTCTCTAGGAATACTATTTTAAAGATGTTGTCATTCAACTCTTGACATACATCTCATTTTCAATAGTTTATTTTTCATTTGTTTGTTTTCTTGTGAGTTTATATGAAAAATAACAACACATAACAAAGGTAACTTAATTGAAACATGGTCATTATGAATTTTCCATAAGCATTCTAAATAGCTGAATATAGAAGTGGAATAAGATAAATTTTGAACAAATGTCTGATGCCGTACATCTATAGTATCTACGATATCAAGATATTTAAAGTATAGACATGCTTAGGATTTTCGTTTATATTGACTTTGTAATTGTGTATAATTAATTCAAGCACATTCAGTGTTAACATTATCAATGTTGAGAATTAAACTAACTTAAAAAATAAAACTTTTGAAATAACAATTCACACTCATTTTTCTGAAGTTGAAACTGACTCGACTCATCGTATTTTACAAATTGATATAAAGCCAATTGAAATCAGAGAGCCCAATTAAAGATTTTTCATTGAAACTCGAAATTATAGTATTTGCTTTAATCAATTCATGGATAATTACATATTTACAGTCAAATGAAAAATTCTTTTGATATTCTTATTCTTTTCAATAGATACTTTTTATTTCTTTTTCAAGGAATAAAAACGCACAAAACCATGAATAAATTTTTTTTTCGATATCTTTTAAATTTCTCCATCCTTAGTGAATTTTTCCTTTTAGATAACGCAGTTGGTTAAATGATTGTGATCGTTGATAATAATTTGTTGATAGGAATGTTTTCAAACTTTGATATTTTTGTTTTAATAATATTGGTCGAGCTTTTTCACGAAATTTTTCACGTAAAACACTTAATGTTGTTAAAAAATTTCCCAAAAATAATATAAAAAATATTATTGATAATACAAACACTTGCCATTCATTAGTAGTTGGTGCATGTGCTAATCGCCATAATGTGTATGCATTATATAATTCAAATAAGTAACCAACAAGAAGGAATGGAACCAAAAATGATAAACCACCTTTAAAAAAATAAAGTTATGTTCTGAACTACGTCAAATGTTCAAGACGGAGATCAAAGTTTTGGTCTACAGAATATCCAATCGATTCGAAATTCTTCTCATTGCTCCTCATAAAAAGCATTGTTTCTAAGTATACTTGGTGCACTCCATAGTGCTAAGTAATATGAATTTAGATCAGACTTCAGAATTATGTACCTACTTTCAATGAAATTTTGGCTTCTTAGAGAAGTTAATGACAGAAATGTGCATCTGGACTGAAGAAAGCCCTGTATCACTTTCGGTTTGGATCAAAAAATCATCAAAATTTTGGACTGGGTCAAAACTCATGGCATCTATCCAGAAAATTAATGAGAGTGAGGGCGAGAATGACTCTACATATGAAATCATGTCCGATTTCTTGGACATATGAAATAATTGAAACTGTTTATCACATTTTACTTACGAAACATCCAACGATGGAATCCTTCAATAGTTATATCCATATCATGCGTTTCACCTAAAGCTCGAAGTCGATAGAGACAGCCACGTTGGTAATAAAATTGAAGACCCTATGAAAATAAAAAATAATTAGCATTGTGTACTTCAGTAAATCATGCATAAAATCAGTTTTTACTTGAACAAAACTAAGATAAAACGTAAAAATAAAAAATTGTTTACGAAATGTATGATAGGAATCAGATTCGGGCCATGTTAATAAAATAGCTGTAGCTACTGTTGTTATAAAATGATGAGCTCTCCACCAAGCTAAAAACAAACAAGATATTCCTAAATAAATAATAATAATAATTTACGATTAATATTTGATCCATTGACAACTAAAATTGATTCACGTATTGTCAATGTACAATAATACCAAACAAGTAAAAAATGAAATAATGCATCGAATGCACGATAACGGGATGTTAATGACCAAATAACAAGTGAAGATATAAATGAAATACAAGTAATAATGAATTTAAATTTTTCATATTCTTCTTTATATGTCCATTTTTCAGCTTTATTTAAGATTGATACATCGACACCGCCAAGAATTATTTTTAAATATGAATCTTTACTTGGTAATGTATTAGAGATTCTTGATAGATATAATGAATTTGTATTCAATCGATCAGATATGAGATTCAAACGTTCAACATATGATAATGTATCAGCTAACTTATCTAATGTTGGCGATGAATTAACAAATGGTAATTCACGTTGATGAGATAATGATCTAACTGCAAATGCAGCATTTCTATTCATTAAGAGATTCGCAGTAAATTGAGAATTCTTTGAATTTATCAGATTGGAATTTAAAGTGGTTTTCTTTGTTTCACCATCTAAATACATAACGAGATTATTTTAAACTTTTGATGTTTTTAAAAAGTTAAACATCAGTGACATATCATCTTTTTTAATGTGATTAATCGTGAATAAATTCAATAAATGGAGATAGTTTTGCGAACAATAAACAATCGATTTTATAAGCCTATTTAGGTTTTGAAATTTTATAAATCATAAAATCTGTTACGTTTATAAATACATCTTTGAAAAAAACTGATTCACAGCTTTGCTCTTTATGTTTTCTATCCTATGATACATTTTTCGAAAAATGATTTCGGATAACTGATTGATATCTAAAAATATAACTTGCCAGTAGCTTTCAATTGTTGTATCTATACATAGAGCAATTAAGATTAAGCTTTTCCCTAGATTCACTTCGTCAAAGCTTAACTCAAACTATGATATCATGAAAACAGTGATAGAAGAAATAATTTTAGTCTAGAGATTTATTAGTTGACATAAATAAATTTATTGTTTGCTTCTAACAAAAGGACAATATTCTGTTAGATTTTATGTTTCTTTCTGTAAACGAAAACACAATAATACTATTATCATATTTATTCAAACATTATGGAAAATGTCACCGTAAGTATAGAGTTTAGAGACTTTTAGGAATATGTATAAAACAGAGAATTCCATAATCAAAAACGTTTGCAATATTTAAGGGCATTCCAATAATGAATATACTAATAAAAATCATTTTCGGAAAAACAAATCTATTATTCATCTTAAATACTTCATAAGCGGGTATTGCTATCTAAAAATATTAGAATAAATGTATTTGGACATACTACAAAAATTTTATGAATTTTGAGAAATGCTAAAAATCAACTGTTTCTTTGCTTTTTATTGATCATCTACTTTAAGGTTGAATCAATCATTTTTACGTTAAACATATTTTTATGCTTATTCTTTCATGAACTAAAGTTAACTGTCTTGAAAATATTTTATTACCAAACAAAATCAAAATAAGTTCATCTTTGATGTCTGACTATATATATAATAGCGGACAAAAGTTTAGAGCAAGTGTATTTTCAACTATTCTTGTCGATAGTGATAGCAAACTGCTCGGATGAAAGTCTGCAGAAAACCAAGATTCTTAAAGCCAACGTTTTGGCTTCTATTC